GAGTTCGATAGTGTTCACACATGCTCTAGTTGTGTCTCACAGAAATTCAGCCATGTCGGGCAGAAAACGGAAAGGCGGACTGCTCCAGCGGCGAAGTCAGGTCGAAGAAGAGAATGCAGCAGCGGTGGGCGAAAGCAAGCTGGCGAAGTTTCTTTTGTCCAAGTTTGCTTGGGGAGAGATATCACCCCAGCTTGTCCAAGAAATCTCGGCACTTGCCGTGGACGATATGCAGAGGCTGAGCGATGGCAAGAGCATGCCAGACCTGGACTCGCTTGCTGCCCTGGGCGGACACGGCTCGAGCCCGCAGAACTGTTTCCGCGATTTGATGCGAAAGCTGGAGCCCGACCTGGCACTGGCACGATCTTATAATGCGAAGCTGCCCTTCAAAGAAATCGGCCCAACGAACCAGGAGTTTCTTCTCCCGCATGAAATGTTCGCTAGCATCTATGAGCAGTTTCCGGACGCGTGGCAGCACAGCTTGCTTCCGGAGCAGACCGAACTGCCCAAGTGGTGGGAGGCGGTGGCGTCCCACCCTCAGATGGTCCGACACCCTGTCAGAGACAGGTCGGATTACAAACAGAGATGCCTGCCCCTGCTGCTACACGGGGACGACGTCCCGGTGCACGGGATCGGGAAAGGATGGACCTCGAAGCTTACAGTATTCAGTTGGTGCTCTGTCTTGGCACTAGACAAATCTACTCGCTCGAAGCTTTTCCTCACCTACGCAAGTTTCGAGAAGGCGAGAACAAAAACAACCATCGACGAGTGGATGAAGATTTTGGCCTGGAGTTTGTGGTGGCTCTTTTTGGGCCTTTGGCCGGACAGCGACCCGGATGGGGTGGAGCAACTTTGCCTATAAACTGTGAACCCTAAACCCCAAACCCTAAACCCTAAACCCGAAACCCCACACCCGACACCCTAAACCCTAAACCCTTAACCCTAAACCCTATACCCTATACCCTATACCCTATACACCCTACACCCTACACCCTAAACCCTAAACCCGAAACCCGAAACCCTAAACCCTAAACCCTAAACCCTAAACCGAAACCCTAAACCCTAAACCCTAAACCGAAACCTTTTCTGTTTTTGTATTTATATAAAGAAACACACGGACACATGTTGTGTGTGTGTGTGTATGTGTGGTTTCTAGACTTGGGCTGTGGGTTGGTTAGGGGCTTGCAGTGAACCTTGTAGGCTCTCTTTCGGTCGCGGGCTTTAAGAAAAACGTTTCAAAAAAGCTCCCCAATGCGACGTGCAAGGTACAAACGTGGCACGCCAGAACATGCCAAGGCAAAGACGCCCTTAGCGGGGGGGTATTACGGCGTGTTGTGGGGGCTGATCGGTGACCTGGACTACTTCCACCAAATATTAAAGTTGCCGCATTTTCTTCGTGCAAAGGACTTCTGTCCCCTATGCAAAGCATCGCAGAAAGGAGAGATGACATGGTGCAACTTTCGAGCTAATGCACCATGGCGCCAGACGTGCTGGGCATCACATGAGTGGCGTTCCTGGAGTGGCCGCAGCACTTCCTCTTTCTTCAGTCTGAGTTACACCAGCTGCCTGACCGTCTCCCTCGACTACATGCATGTGAAGTATCTGGGCTGCGACCAGTACCAGTTCGGTGCCGTGCTGGAGCTTCTCACAACTACGATACTTGGTGGCAGCGACGAGGAAAACCTGCGGACCGTGTGGGCAGCACTGCAAACTGCTTATACGGAGCTGCACACTCCGCCGCAGGCGAGGTATCGATACCTCACGAAGCTCAGCATGTTCATCCGAAAGGGGTACTCCAAGTTGAGAGGTAAAGCTGGTGAACTTCGGCATCTCGGCCATGCTCTCACACTGGTTTTTCAAAAGTTCATGAACCCCCACTTGCAGGTGCACAGAGAAATACTACTCATGTTGCAAGCCAACAACTTTATGGAGCGACTCCTGGAAGAGAATCGGTTTCGCTACTCTTTGAGCACATCGGATGCTCGCCGATTCGAGGAAGCCTGCAACAGCATGCTGCTACTTCAAGCCAGCGTGGCTCGGCATTTCGCTGAGGCGGGCAAGCAGCTCTTCGACGTGACGTCGAAGTGCCATTTGCTGCAACATTTGGCGATGACTGCAGGAGGGGTCAACCCTCGCGTCACTTGGTGCTTCTCCGGCGAGGACATGATGCAGAAAATGCAATGCCTCGCCCAAAGCTCATCCCGTGGTGTCCACGTTACTCGGGTCATGTCGAAGATGATCCGCAAGTATAGGATCGCCATGGAGATGGAGTTCAAGAAGCTCTGAGAAGAAAAAGTGCCCCCCACGTTGGAGGCAACTCCAAGGACCCCATGACCCCATGAGAAGCCACAGGAATTTGGACTTGTTGTTGGGGAGGGGCGGAGAGGTGGGGTTCGTTTGTCGGCAGGTGTGTTTATGCGACTCACCCCAAACGTCTGGCGCCTTTAAAGACTCTTCGTGCAGGACAGGCGGCTTTTTGGTTGGGGAGCAAAGCAAGAAGTTGTGCTATTGTGGTCTCTATCTACATCGTACATCTCAACACTAGAGATGCAAAAAACATGTTTTCCGCCTATGACACAAACTCACGACCAAAGGAAAAACACCCTGAGGCCCCTCCCTCCCTCCCTACCTCTCTCTCTTCACACAACCTCAAACCCTGTACCCTCGCTCTCTAAACCCTCTCTTAGAGCCCTGAACCCACAACACACTTTCTAAGCCCTCTCTACAAGCCCTCAACCCTCGCCCTGAACCCTTTATATTTGTAGAAACTCCCACCACCAAGTCCTTTGGAATGCCTTGTATAAGCTGTGCCTTGCTCAAGGCGGACACACAACGACGATGGGAGCAGAGGCCAGTCATACCTGGAGAGCACCTGGAGAGCACCTGGAGAGCACCTGGAGAGCACCTGGAGAGCACCTGGAGAGCACCTGGAGAGTACCTCGAGAGCACTCGGAGAGAGAACACACACAACACACAGAAGATCAAACACACATTTCTATATATCTACACATATATATATATATATATATTTTTATTTATATTTTTATGTATCTATACATATGACATTATACATATACCTATATATATATATACACATGTATATATGTGTGTTTACATATATATATATATATGTCCATCTATTGATCTTTGTATCTATCTGTCTGTCTATCTTATATCAATAGAACAGGCCAGAGTACACACACACACACACACACACAGCTCAAATCCTCTAGAACAGGCAGCCGACGTGGCCTCCGCCGTCTCATTTTGCAATGAAAGTCCAAACGAAGAAGCAAAAACTCCATAATTTAGGGTTTAGGGTCTAGGTTAAGGGTTTAGAGGGTTCATGTTCTTCCTTTTTTGTATATAAAAAGCAATGCCAAAACACAAAACAACCACACCGTGTAGACTGAGAAGCACAAAAAACAAGCGGCAAAACTTCGGTCAAACTGCGGCGACGACCGCCTCCAAACTGCGACCGGCGACAGACGAAGTTTCGACGAAGTTTCGGTTAAACTTCGGCTGGGGGCTTCTGTGCTTCATGCGCAAGATTTTCACTAAATCGTGATATTTTCACTATATAGTGATTTACTTGCGCGAAGAAATTCAGACTATTTTGCACACCCGGTCGACGTAACTATTTGTTGTTTTTTTAACTAAATGGTACGCAAGCTTTTTTAACTAATAGTTAAAACGTGTTTTGACTAATAGTTAATTTTTTGCCTACGGGAAAATTTTAACTATTAGTTAGTTTTCTATCCAACCGGAGCTATTGGGTGGTGGCTGTGAAGCTATGGGTTCCCGAAGGAGGGGAAAGGAAGGCTTCTCGAGTGGCCCTCCGAGGCTACACGGACAACAAGTCCAATGAGGCCTCGCTAAAGAAGTCCATGACCACGAAGTATCCCTCCGGACTCATCCTGATGGAGCTAGCAGAGGAACTTGCGGCCCGGAACTGCGAGCTAGACCTGCAGTGGATCCGCAGAGACCTCAATCAGCTAGCGGATGATCTGACCAACGAGGAGTTCAAGCACTTTGCAACAGATTTCCGGATCCCCGTGAAGGGGGAGAAGCTAGAGTGGCGCATCCTGGGGCTTCTCCTTGGGCACGCGGGAAGCTACTACAAGGAGCTAAGTGTGCGGAAAAGGGAGAGGCCGGCCCCGGTTCAGGGGCGGAGAAAGAGGCCCAGGAGGCTAGACCCATGGTAACCGTTCGGCGGTGCGTGGGAGATCAGCTAGCGAAACGCTAGAGTTTTTCTCTCGGGAACCATGGGATTTCTGCCACTCGTGCTACAAGAGAATCTGTCCGAGTGCTTGATCACGTTGGCTATCTTCTCATGTGAGCTACACATGTTTACCGAGCGACGCTCATCCCCACCAACCCCGGGAGGTGTGGGCCGGGGGGATGTTGGTGGGGTGGGAGGATTGGCTAGTGTACGCATTCGTGACTTGTTACGACAGTGTATGCCAGCCGATGCTCTTGATGCTCTTGGGGGAACATCGAAGGTGTTCCCCCCTAACGCCCTGGCGGTTAGCCTGCGGAAGCTAGTTCTTGTCCAGACATGTTACAGGTGCAATTTTGCTACATGCGGACATGTGCCTTTGTTGACGTGTGCTAGCGCTCAGCTAGCTTATTAGGGACGAACGGAAAGCTAGCTCAAAGAGCAAGCTAATGTGGCATGGCCTTGAGGAATTTCTTCCGATATGTCTGGCTAGTCCCCGTCAACACGGGGGGGGGCAAAACTTTCAAGTGCCCACCCAACCCACCCTGGAGATCAGCTAGCGAAACGCTAGAGTTTTTCTCTCGGGAACCATGGGATTTCTGCCACTCGTGCTAAAAGAGAATCTGTCCGAGTGCTTGATCACGTTGGCTATCTTCTCATGTGAGCTACACATGTTTACAGAGCGACGCTCATCCCCACCAACCCCGGGAGGTATGGACCGGGCGGGATGTTGGTGGGGTGGGAGGATTGGCTAGTGTACATCATATGTTTTGGTAGTTTGCAGGAAACTTTGGAGCTGGTGAAGCAGCTGGAGGCGCTCGGAACCGATTCTGTCTCATGAGTCTCATGAGTCTCATGAGTCTCATGAGTCTCATGAGTCTCATGAGTTGCTTATGCAGCCATGGTGTCGCCCGTCTCTCAAGGCTTCGGGGGCTAGTCTCATAGCGGTGCACGGGCGCTACCGTGGTACACCAACACATCGGCGTGATGGGCCTGCTCACCTGGACCAGGCATGTTGTGTGTTTGCACCGATTGCCGCAACGCAGTGGCCCCCTTCACATGTGACGTCACTGACGTCCCCAGGTGCATGCCATCAAGAAGGTGGCGCGTGTGCCAATCCTTTCCAACGGCAACATCAAGTCCTGGGAATCTTGGCCTCATCTATACATCGAGTGCGGGCCGTGCCACAAACAAAATGGAAGGAGCCAAGTCATAAGAAATCATAAGAAGTAGGCCGGATATGACAACAGGCTGGGTTTGTTGTTGTTGGAGTGTACGGTTTTTAGGGTTTTCAGGGCGTCTAGGGTTTTAGGGTTTTTAGGGTTTAGGGCTTTTTGGGTTTGGGTTTTTAGGGTTTGTGCTTTTGTTTTTTGTTTTTGGTGTTCAAGGTTTTTGGCAGAGTCTTTAGGGTGTACGGTTTTGCGGGTGTTGGTTTTAGGTTGAGGTCTCGAGGTTTTAGGAATTAGGTTTTTTTGTTTTCGGGGTTTAGTTTTTTGGTGTTTTCAGGGCTTTTAGGGCTGGCTGTGAGGGCTTTCAAGCTTTTGGGGCTTCTGGGCTTTAGGGCGTTTAGGGCTTTAGGGTTTTAGGGTGTGGGGGCTTAATTAGGGCTTTTAGGGTTTGTAGGGCTTTAGGGTATTCAGGGTTTGGTTCATTTTTTGGGATTTTTGGGTTTAGGGTTGCTAGGGTTTGAGGAGTTTTTTTGGGGGGGTATTTCAGGGTTTACGGTTTTGGGGCTTAGGGCTGTTTAGGGTTTAGGGATTTAGGGCTTTTAGCGTTTTAAGGCATTCGGGCTTTCAGGGTTTGGGGGGTTTTGGGGGCTTGGGTTTACGGGTTTTAGGGCTTTGGGTACTTTACTTGTTTACTGGTTTTTCGGGTTTGGATTTCGGGTTTAGAGTGTTTAGGGTTGAGAGTTAAGGGTTGGCCTCACCCGAAACCCTTCTAGATGCCAAGCTGTGCCATTGGTGCCCGTGAAAATTCCGCCGACATCCGGCTCGCCGCTTCGGGCTTTCTGACTCGGGTGGCCCCTTTTTGACTTGCCCCAGGCTGTGTTTGGACTTGCTTCCGGCATTTTCCGACTCGTTGTTTACTCGGTCCACACCCCCTGCTGTCCGTTTTCGATCCTCATCTCAGTCACGCCATTGCCATAGCGAGAAGCCGAGCGTGCATGCGAGAAAGAGCCAAACACAAATCCGCCGGGGAGGCAGGGTACATCAAAGAAGTACTGGGGATCCGGCGGTTTGTCCGGCACTCCAGCGGCGCCGCGCTGGGGAACCAGTCTCTCCAATCTCTCCCCCCCCGGGTCTCCGATCGTCTCTGATGTCTCTGGTCTCTGAGAATGGGGGGTGCCACGGTTTTCTGCGGGACGCGCTTGCACAGGCGTTGTCCTTCGCTCTCCCTCTCCCTCTCCCCCTCCCCCTCTCCCTCTCCCTCTCCCTCTCCCTCTCCCTCTCCCTCTCTCCCTCTCTCTCTCTCTCCCGCATCAGGGACAGGCGAACCGAACTGTCCCAAAAGTCTCCTAATGGCCTTACGGCCTCAGGGGTTTAGAAAGTTTAGGGCCTTTGTGGGCAAAGAGGCCCCGCCCCATCCCCAAGCACCAAGCTCGAAACATCTTGGGTTTGGATGTTTCGGCAACAGACCACGGCCAAGCTGTAGGCCAAGATAGGAGGCCCTCCTACTCCCAAAGCACACTGGCACAAAACTGAGAGAGCAAGGTGAGGCTGCCAAGTCCCAACGCAAGTAAACCCCCAAACCCGACCAAAGTCATAAACTGGGGGGTGCCACCGCAACACGCGTTTGCGTGGATGTGTGCATAGACATTCTCAAGCCCAAGGCCCAAGCCCTAAAACCCAAATCCCCCAAGCCCGGTGGGGCAGTTCCATGAGCGCTCCGTGGAAGCCAAAGGCTGCCAAAGGGCCAAGAAGCCATCAGTTCCACTGCAGTTCCTACTTGTAAAGTGGATTCAAACGTCGAAGAAAATATCTCTGGAGAAGACGTAAGATCTGACAAAGTCTGAGAAGCTCAGGATGATGTGGTGGCAAACCTTGAACTTACAGAAGCCGACGGGGTGGCTTGGGCACATGTTCAGCCTGTTCAGCACTGCGTCGAAGAACTGTTGCTTATATTCTCCAATCCGCCTAGCCGGTCCTAGCCTGCTGTAGAGTGCAGCAGAAGAGGGCCTTGCCTCTGCCGTTTTTCCCAGGTCATGTCAGCCGAGGGCATGCTTGACGACCCTTGCCTCTTCGCCAGTGCTTGCAGAGGCCTCAACATGGCCAAGCATCCAAGCAGTAAGCATCCAGTAAGCAGAACATGAGGTGATGAGGGCTTTACTCGTGGTGCAGGGTTGCGTGCTGGTGGCTGGTTGTTGGGGTGACACAACCAGGATCCATACAAGAACGCTGCAGCCACGGATTCCTGTAATGTGAGCTGATCTGAGCTTCAAGGTGCATGGTAGGAAGGAGCTAGCTTGAACTGGAACGTAGTTTCGCGTGTCGGCATTCAGGACGTATCAGGTCCAGGCTGGGCCTTTCGGTTTCCAGACGCTAGCGTGCTATGTGCTTGCACAGGCGAGGAATGTGTGCAGCTTACCCCAACCGTTCAACGGCTCAATCTGGCTGGAATCACAACAGTGGCACGGCAGAGCACAAAGAGAGTCTAAGAGCATGTGGCTGCTGCCTTGGGCACCTAAACTAGTGCACGCGATGCTGGCAGCAACACGTAGTGTGATCACGCGATTATCACGCTAGTGCTGCACGCATGTCTGTGATCGCTGACGAATCGTCATGGGTTCAGTGGAGGCGAAAGATCGAACTCGACGAAAGCGCTCAGAAAGGCGCACGGTTGTTGTCAGCCGGGTTCTTGTGCTCAGAGGTCAATTGCATGTGTAAGTGTCAGTTATCCTGGAGGTTGAAAAGAAGCTGCGACAGGTGCAGCATCTCTTGGAGAAGCAGGCTCATGCCCCACAGCTTCTTTTGGCGTTGTATGATAAGTACTTGGAATGCGGGTAGGTCTATGACGATCCAGCTATTGGCACGAGACGATGCAATGTTCGTGCAAGCCATGTGTTTGAGGATTGTATTCGCCCCCCCCCCCCCCTTTTTTCTCGGAACAGTTGAGCATGGGGTGTACTTTGTCGCGTACTTCACCGCTGGCGCTGTCACCGTTTTTCGAAGATGGGGCCTGGATTGGAAAGGATTGGAACTGAAAGTTTCTAAGTAGGAACAGATTGTAAGTGCAGAGGAGATAGAATGCACGGCTTGCCGTATGCCATTTCTTTATTGTAGTTCAGAATGGCAGGTCGTCTCGGTCCGGGCCGAAGCATTGAGTACGGATAATGTAGCAAGTGATATCATATCTGGTACTTTGACCCAAATCTGTCATACAGCTAGTTAGAAGCATGAAAAGTCGAGAGTTCCCCGTCAACACGTCTTAGTCTCTTCTTCTTGCCAGTCCCAGTCAAAAGAGGCTCAGATTGAGCATGGGCCGTTTCCCTCACTAAAGATCCAAAGTTTTGGATCGTAGCCACCTTTGACTACCTCAAGATCTTTGTGTTTTGTTCGATAGACAGCCCTCGCGCCAGAAAAAGCTGAGTATTGAAAACGATGCGGTGCATGGCCAAGCTCCCTGAATTCACGAAGCTTAAGGTCCTGGTAAAGCTGCAAAAATGCGTTCACCCCACAGCTTCAGACACTGACTCTCCAGTGGGCTATGTGAGAACAATACGAGTCTGCATGTGTTAGGGTTTCGGGTTTCGGGTTTCGGGTTTCGGGTTTCGGGTTTCGGGTTTAGGGTTTAGGGTTTAGGGTGTATATAGGGCGTAGGGTTTAGGGTTTAGGGTTTATTGTACACGTTTTATACGATCATACCCTATATAAATCGACTAACAACAAAAAGAAACCAATAGAAAACCAATAGAAACCAATAGAAAGCCAAAAAAAGCCAATAGAAAGCCAACAGAAACCAATAGAAACCTTTTTTTGCAAACCAATAAAAAGCCAATAGAAACCAATACAAACCGATGGGAAATCAATAAAAAACAAATCGAAACCAATAGAAAACCAATAGAAGCCAATAGAAAACCAAGAACAACCAATAGAACACCAACAGAAAACCAATAGAGAACCAAGAAAAGCCAATAGAAAACCAAGAACATCCAATAGAAAACCAATAAAAACCAATAGAAAACCAATAAACACCAATAGAAAACCAAAAAAAGCCAATAGAAACCAATAGGAAACCAATGAAAACCAATAGAAAACCAATAAAAATCAATTGAAAACCCATAGGAGACCCATAAAAACCAACAGGAAACCAATACAGTAGAAACCAACAGAAAACCAACAAAAAAACCAACGGAAAACAAATAAAAACCAATAGAAAGCCAATAAAAACCAATAGAAACCAATAGAAAACCAATAAAAAACCAATAGGAAACCAATAACAACCAATAGAAACCAGTAAAATCCAACAAAAACCAATACAAACCAATGGAAAACCAATGGAAAACCAATAGACAACCAATAACAACCAATAGACAACCAATAAAAACCAATAGGGAACCAATAAAAGCCACCAGAAAACCAATAAAAACCAATAGAAAACCAATAAAAAGCCAATAGACAACCAATAAAAACCAACAACGCCCAATAGAAAACCAATAGAACACCAATAAAACCAATAGAAAGCCAATAGAAACCAATGGAAAACCAATCAAAACCAATAGACAACCAATAGAAAACCAATAGAAAGCCAATAAAACATCGAATAGAAAACCAATTGTTCTATTGGTTTTCTATTGGTTTTCTGTTGCTGTTCTATTGCTTGTTATTGGTTTTCTATCGGTTTTCTTTCTCTTGGTTTTTATTGGTTTTTTGGTTTTCTATTGGTTTTCTATTGTTTTTTTTTTGTTTTTTATTGGTTGTACCTGAATAGAGAAGCATAGAGCTGAAAGCGAGATATTGTGACTCGTCAATAGATCTTGTCGAGGCCTCTGGCGCAACACTGAACTCAGAGGAGCTGCAGAAGGCAGCCTGGAAGACACTTGGGTATCTTAAGAGCGTTCTTGGAGCGATCATGTGGTGTAATGGTACCATAGGCACCCCTCGTGCCGCAAGTAACTGAAGTACGAAGAGAACTGGCTTTTGTAGCCAGGTTGCCACAAGAAAGCTGCTGCGTAAGGAGTGGGTGAGTGGGAATTGCTGCTGATTGCGAGGCTTACAGGCTTGCCCGA